ACGTAAGTTCCGGTAACATGTAATATCGTAGTCAAAATGTTAATGCACAGGTTTTTGTTCCGGGTGAAGGAAATTCCTTTTCATAGAATTCCGGGGATGGGAATATTTACTGTACATCCTGATTTATATAGCGCTTTCACAAGTGCTGAAATAAACATCAATCGCTTCTAGTAGGGTACAGAGGGCACCGCAGCTATGCTGACTTCATACCTCGTATGCGGGGTGTTCTTCTTCCCGAGTTTAGTTTGGTGAAGAGCTTTGCTATGGCTCGCTCTATTGCTAACGCTTTCGATGCTAACGTTAGCTGTGGCTGCACTCGAGACTGGGTGCTTTGCATTGATGTGGGAGGCTAAACTTGAGCTGCTTCGGTGGGAAGCAAACTCTTTCTTACAAATTAGGCACAACACTCTCCCTTTATCAGTAATGCCGTCAGGGCGTTTTATGGAATGTAAATTTTCCATTTATTGGGTCGAGAACTCTCACATGCTCCTCCATGTTCACCTCTCCTCTCCTCACCGCTTTTTACTAATCCCGCCCAACTCCAATGGGAGTCTATCAGTTTATGCTAAACAAGCCCAAACATAATTACAGCCAATCAATGTCCGTTTCAGGCTGTGACTGACCATTGTTTCCCACCCTCAACAACTCGAACACAGGAAGCCAACACATAAAAAGGGGGATTATAAAAAGACAACCCACCTACACAAACAAAAAAGTTAGAGATTAAAATTAGATTAACGCTATTAAAAAAACAATGCGCCTAATATCACAAATTAATTATTCACAATTAACATGATAATTTTGTGTGTGTGTGTGTATATATGTATATATATGTATATATATATATATATATGTATATATATGTATATATATATATGTATATATATATATATATATATATATATATATATATATATGTCTTCGTTGGATGATAAAGATGTAATTTCTTTAGGAACGTGTGAAATATCACAACATCATTGGTATTGAAAATGTAATAATGTAAAAGATCTTCGAGTATCATTTTAATATCTCGAGCCGAGCTTCTATTTTGGAAATCAAAATATGGTCATCCTACATAAAGTAATGAAAAAAGTTGGCATTCAGCGTCTTTGGCAACCTTTACAAAATCATTTCATGTGATGGCAGGACGTTAAATATTGTTTAATAAGTCGGTATTCGCCACTTTAAAAGTTTTTAAAACGGCTGACAGGGTTAGCATTCGGCTAGGCTAGGAGTACTCACAGTGTGCTTTGGACTCCGTTTGTGTTGGCTTGGCTCAGAACCTGCGTCAAAGCCTTCGGTCGCAACATGGCAGCTGTCACTCTTCGACGTCAGACTGCTGTCTTGAAGGAAATACGGATGGAAAAAAAGTGGAAAGCACTTGTCACTATGCTACTACGGGGCTAGCGCATTTTGTGGCAGCAGGCTCTAGTCACGTTACTTCCTCTGGCAGCCGGAGACACCGGAAGTGGTGGCTCGCCAGCTGCCGCAACAGGTAGCCCTTAATTTGAGCTGTGCGCCTACGGCGAGACTAAAATAATGGGGGCCAAGTGTCCGCGCATTCTGCGTTTGAAACGGCACGAAAATTAAAATACCAAGGATGCCTGCACAGTCCAAAGAGTGAAACTGGGAATAAGGTCAGCTTTTATTGTCAAATATGCTCAATGTGTAACATACAGCACAGATGAAATTACTTTGTATAATTACTTTGAATAACCATCATTATGGAAAAAGGTTTTTGCTCGTTTTACTTTATGAAAGATAGTACCCAATTGTGGGTTGATGTTCAAATGTTTTTGGTTAGAAAAATAAACTCCTTAGGCAGTGCTTTCAACACTTTCAAATTTGATAATCTTTATTGTTTATAATCTGTATTGTGGAGTAATTGGTCTTCTGTTTTCAATAATTCTTTGGTCTGTATCTTCTTTCAGGATAGAAATAATAACTCCTTGACACATTGTGGGAGGTGGACTGCAGGATTGAAAGATATCTGAAACAGTATCATACAATAATTCCTTTTTGTCTCCCCAAAAATGACGATAAAAGTTCCCTGTAAATCCATCTGGACTCGGGGATTTGTTAAGAGACAAACATTTAACCGCCTGATCAAGTTCTGTTCTTGTTATATCGTATCGCAAGTTTGTTTAAAGTCGTTATCAATTTTAGGAATGCAAAATTACAGAGAGAATGTCCAATCGGATTTTCAAACGTTGCATAATTATCACCGAGCTCTTATTTGATACATGAATAATTACCATTTTTAAGTTTTCTGTGTTAATAATTTTTTTATTGTTGTATACAGTATATAACATTTGCTCCATCTACAGCACTTTTTATACAGCGATGATTGTTTTAAAGTGCTCTATAACCTATCTTTCATCTATAACTGCTTCATACAACAAAGAGGATGCAGAAAAGTGGTTAAGATTGCACGACTGTCTGTGTCTTATGTGTTGTGTTGTATTATTTTGACTTCAAGCTGGCGCTGCGAGAGTGGCTGCCTTTACAGCAGCTCCTATATTTTGTTCTTCTACTTCTTCCTTTCATACCACTGCTGCTGTGAATTGGGAATTTCTCCATGGTGAGACTAATAAAGGTTTTATCTTATCTTTAATACAGTTGAGTTTAGTTGGGTTTCACAGAAGCCATAAGTCGTCCCCGCTCCAAGCTCTTCATAACCGTTCGTCAGCCGTAGTTGTCTGTGTCTTATGTGTTGTGTTGTATTATTTTGACTTCAAGCTGGCGCTGCGAGAGTGGCTGCCTTTACAGCAGCTCCTATATTTTGTTCTTCTACTTCTTCCTTTCATACCACTGCTGCTGTGAATTGGGAATTTCTCCATGGTGAGACTAATAAAGGTTTTATCTTATCTTTAATACAGTTGAGTTTAGTTGGGTTTCACAGAAGCCATAAGTCGTCCCCGCTCCAAGCTCTTCATAACCGTTCGTCAGCCGTAGTCGAATACAGATCTTGAATTTAAAAAAAAAAAAAAAAGTAATTCTGTGCTGTTAGAAAAAGGACACATACTATTCTACGTTTGTCAACAGACAAGCACTTCCGCAAGCAGGTTACACCTTGCTGTGATTGACCAGTTTGCGGCAAGGTGCATGCCGGGAAGGAGGCGGGTCCTCGTAGTGACTTGGTGGAGGACCGACGTCACTGTTTGTGTGCTGGCTTGGGGAAGATGGCGGAGGCTGCGGCTGTTCCCCCGCATCGGTTTTTCTGTCACTGTTGTAAGGGAGAAGTAAACCCGAAACTTCCGGTAAGAGGTTCGTCTTTCAATGTCGACTGTATGTCATCGTATTTGCTTGGTTGACAAGTTGGCGTCTTGTCCGATTACCGTGTGCTCCGCTTGTCTTCCTTAGCGAAGAAGCTAGCTAGCCTGCTAGCAGTCAGCGGCGTTTGTTGTTGCAGTTGTGAACGCGGTATACACACCGGTAACAACTGCAAATGGATCTATCAATGGACATTTCAAACAAAGGGGCCGATTTTTTTTTTTTTTTGTTGCAAAAACAAGAGTTAGCCTCAAGCCACGATTTGTCTGTTCTGGTTGTTGTGTGTTGCATTAAAATACACTGCTGATCGAAATAAGGACATATGAAGCCTATTTTAACTGATTTCCCCACCCCCCATAGTGGGATCAGAAGTCACAGTCATTGACTAAGCAAGGGAGTTTTGCATTCATCGACACTTACTTTCAATTTGAAATGGAAACATGGGAGTAGCATGAATGCAGGCTTAAATTTAACACCACAACGTACACAAACAAAAACTCCCAAACATTCAAGACTCAAAGCCAGTTGATTTGTATTTAACTAAGTTCAGTACATGTGCATTTAATCTTTATGAATTGCTTGTGAAAAATGTTAACAAGTCTTTGAATGCACTTGGTGTAGTTTTTTTTAGCTTACATTGAAGCACAGTGTTAATGTTCAAACAGTGTATAATGTTACAGTGGCTTAAACAATTTGAAAATACAGTGCATTTTTCAGGAATAAAACTTCTGCTTCGTTTTGTAAGGACTAGTATCCTATTACAGTTTATGTTGGTAATTATGGTGGTACTTGGAGGGCAAAGTTTGAGAGAACCACTGGCTTAGCTGAAACGAAACTAAAATGTCCCCCAGTAGGATAAGATAAGATAAGAAAACCTTTATTAGTCTCGCAATGGAGAAATTCCCAATACACAGCAGCAAAGTTATGAAAGGAAGAAGTAGAACAACAAAATATAGGAGCTGCTGGAAAGGCAGCCACTCTCGCGGCGCCATTTTGAAGTCAAAATAACAAAAATAACACAACACAACACATAGGACACAAGACAGTCGTGCAATCTTCACCACTTTTCTGCATACACTTTGTTGTCCGAAGCAGTTATAGATGAAAGAGGAGAGGATCAAAGTGTCCTTTCACCAGTGGATCAGAGACGTCATGCTGAAAATGTGCACACGTCTGCTACAAGCTAGGAGAAGGGTCCCCGGCCCCCGTTGTAACACTCGACAGTTAAAGATTGAAAAAAGTCATTATGTGATTCATACTTCTTAGTGAATTCTGTTTGATCCCCTGCAAGTCCCCCCAGGAGTCTGCAGAGAAAAAACGTTTAGTCCGTGGGCATTTAAAAAAAAAAAAAATCTAAAATGACCAGTTATAAAGCAAATCAATGCTCTAATGAAGTAAGAATTCTTTTAGGAAATTATCAATAAAAACCAAAACACTGTGTGGAACATTGTGGTTATAAAATAATCAACACCATTATTGTCTTTGTCCCTGTAAAGCGGATTTATTTCAAATTAATAATATAACACTAGATTTTATTCTCATTACTTATAAAGCGTAAAACATTTCACCTTACTATGTGTTTGCGGCAGAACAAATTATATTACAGCAAAGATTTCAAGTGTAAACTCGCCACTTGACCTGGAGATCGTAAACATACTTTACACAGTATGCTGAGAAATAGAATTCGACCACACAAACAGTCGATTTTTTACGCGCTGCAGTGACATGACGTCACCATGAGTAGACGTCGCCGTTATGTGATGGTATCTTTACTGGACGTCTCCATGAAATAAAGAGAAAGAAAAGCATTGCCTTGCTTCCCCAAAATAATTCCACCACCTCCCGTATGATTCCTCTGTCGATACATGATGATTAAAAAATGAACCCTGACACGCTGGATCCTATTTACTTCCGTAAACACTGCCGTATGTCGTTGTCTTTTGCGTGCATCTGGTTAGAAACTACACGTAAATGTAATATTCTGCACTGCGCCCTTATATCCGAGGGTGGCTTTCAAATCTGCGGCAAATTGCGCAATCGCGGATTCCTGCGAGGACTACCCTACTGCCATTCCTTGTTTAAAATTAGGGCTCATCAATATGGCATTAAAAGATACATTTTGATAAATTTGAATCAACTTTTTCCCCTTCTTCCACTGGGTTCCTTTTCTTGTTATATGTACAACAATGTAAAAATAAAAATTCTGCTCATGTTGTCTATTTCTTAGCAGGAATTAAAGTCTGGGGTTTTTTTTCGATGTTGTCTATTTCTTAGCAGGAATTAAAGTCTGGGTTTTTTTTTTTCACAAAGAAGCTGCAGAATATCAGGAAAATGTGGCACCACTGACTGTTCTTGGAAACTAGTCCCACTTTATTCACGTCTAGAATGAGAAAAGCACAAACAAAAATTGTGCTGACAAATAGAAATGTCATTTAATTTATCAAATTGATTCGTCATGCAGCCATAATGCAATTTGGGTCATAAATGCAATGTATGCAAACGCATGGCGCAGGAGTGTTAATGTGCAACAAAAACAATGGTAAAAGGCAGACAAAGTCGTGAACACGGACACCACAAAAGACAAAACTGTCAATCAATCCGCCAAGCTGTTTTATGTGTGGCGCCAAACACCGAAAGATTCGCAAACGGTGATGCACTCTGCCCAAAGGCTGAGAACGAGTCCCAAGCGCATGTGCTGCCGCCACCTAAATTTGCAAAATGACTTCATTTGACTGCCGCCGAGGCATTAGAGGACTCCGTTTACACTTGGTGGGAAGAAAGAAGCATAAAAAAGTGCACCTGAAATAGTTATTCAACAGAAAACGTCATTCTCACCAGAGGTGCGACAATCAATCGACGCGTAACTAATCGATTACCAAATAATTTTTGATCATCGATTAAATTACTTTTTTAATTTCGGTGTCCAATTGTTTCTTCATTCAGCTTCAAGTCATCTTATCAAGTGTAAATATAGATTTTTTTTGTAGTCGTCCATGAAAGCGGACTGATTATCTTTGTCCATTATCCGAGCCGCTGTGTTGAATCAAAATGAAAGCATTTGCTTTTAACTTGGACAACAACCTATTTTCTGACATGTTACAGACCAAACCAGTTACTGAATCATAATTAATTTGTGCATTTTCTGCGCAGTCAATTTGAAAGAATATTTTGTTTTAAAATAGAGGGATTGAAATGAACAAAATCAAGTTATTTTTTAATCCAAAAATATTAAAATAAACATTCGTCACAGCCTGAATTCTCACATAAAATATCATGTTCATAATTCCTGCATCCATCTTTATTGAAACAACTGAACACAATCCATCCCAGGAAGCTGCTTAATTTTTTTTTTAACCCCCAGAGGTCAAACCAACGTTTTTTTTGTATCAGGTTACAGGGTGCATGAAAGAGTTAAACACCAGAGAAATTATCTGAATGTGCAATTCTGTCTCGGCTCAAGCGAATGTCCACTGAAGCGCGCTCCCGTGAAATATCCTGACATTATTGATTAATTTAAGGTCGCTCTAATTTTGCGTCTGACTTTTTAATGTGTGGTGTAAATATTTTCGACACACGGAATCTAATCTTCTGACCGGACTGAATTGTTGTGTATTTGGCCTGGGCGAGAGCAATCCCAGCGTGCTTGTCTCATGCTGATGAGATTTCCTCCTTTCCAAGCCGAATGCCACCCACGTCTCCATGTCATTGTTCAAATAATAGCCTAGGTGGCTTCCTACGAAGACATCCCAACCGTGTCTGATCACGGAGCTGACTTTGACGTGCCAAAAATCACGTGAGCGCCGTCTGTTATGGTGTCGAACGTGCGTTAGGTGTGGTTGGCAGACCAGCTCAACCTCTTGAGTAACTTTCAATGACTGGAATACGCCACCTTTTCATGTCACAACCGACTTTGAACAGAAGCTAGCAACAGTGAAGAAGAACGTATTGAAGAAAACAAACGTGCGTTTCATATTTTAAAGCAGGGGTCGGCAAACTTTGGTGTTCAAGGGCAGCATTTGATTTTTCAAACAGACAGGCCAAATCATTTGGAGATGGGAGTAGTTGGGGGGGGGGTCACAAATAAAAAATGTAAAATATGTCAAATAATTTGTTAATACGCTTTTTACATTTCATTTATAATTTATTTAATTACAATGAACCCTTTTATATAATATATATGTATGTATACATACATGTGTGTGTATGTGTAGCTCTCTCTCTCTCTCTGTAGATAGATAGATAGATACACCCACAAACATATACAGTGTGTATACACGTACGCGTGTGTGTGTGTGTGTGTGTGTGTGTGTGTGTGTGTGTGTGTGTGTGTGTGTGTGTGTGTGTGTCTCGCGGGCCGCATGTGTTCGCCAGTTAGCCATCCCCTAGTCTAAATGCTCGTGACAGGCAGAGGTCACCTGACTCACGGTGTCGACGACCTCATGACGAAGAGCAACAGCCCAGAATGTTTGTCAGAAGACTTGCTGGATAACACACACAAACCCACACTACTCAAACTCTGTACGACTACAAACATGTAGGTGCGCCTGCAAAATCCAACGCGGTAAAAAAGGAACGCTTTCACTGGAAGGAATGAAAGGTCTTAATATTACAAGCATCAGTGCACAGCTGCGTCATTCGGATAACTGTTGGGGCTCATATATAACAACGTGCATCTTCATGAGAAACAACTACACGCTGAAATTATCTCTTTTGTAATGCATGTTTGACCGTCAACAGATATGAGTGGGTCTCGAAAAACAATGACTGCCGGTCTAACATCGTTGAGTATAATTTTAGTGGTCTGTCATCATGTTAAGTTTTTTTTTTAATGCTGTTTTGCCAATGACTTTTGTTTATGTTCAATGCTCATTCTGGTCAACATTCAACACGAATGTGTTTGAATATCTAAATTGTGTTCTTTCTTCAATCTGTGGAGTGTTTATCACAATGTCTAAGTGTGTGCTCTGACTTTTTCAAGGAATACATCTGTCCTCGCTGTGACTCGGGCTTCATCGAGGAAGTGACGGAAGATTCCAGGTAAAAGACGCGACTCGTTCAATGGGTTTCGAGTCATGATAAGCCGCCATTTATTTTTTTCTGTAATTCCAGCAGCCTCCTAGAGGGCGGCGCCAATGGACTAGATGACACAACCACTCAGTTTGCAGAGGTACGTTTCTTACCTGAGTGACAGCCTGTGACTGAAACGATTAAACGAATAATTCAAATAATTCACTTCAAGATAAAGTTGAAACTAAATCTCTGCCTCCAAGATTTGAAGTGATTTTTTTTTTTTTTTTTTTTTTTTTTTTTACAAAAACGAATGCTACTGCAGACTCGCCCACAATTCTGTACAGATATAAGACGCCGCAATGGCGTTGAGTCAGAAGTGTGCAAAAAAGACAGCAAATGCTGAAAGGTTGGGATCACTTTCAATCGTTGTGTTGAACAAACCTCAACAAAACACACGTTTATACGGGAGTCGCTATAGCCACAATTGACAACTAACCTCCGATGTCGTGTTGTCATCGTCCTCGCAGCTCTGGCACCTGCTGTTAATGGAGCGGCCATTTTCCATCGACGGCGACAACCCCGACTCGGAACCCCGGCTCCCCGGCGGGCGCCTGGGTGGGCTCAGCGACTTTGGGGGTTTCGGAAGCGGGCCCATTGGGGGCTCTGTCCCCGCCGGCCTCGGGGGGCCCTTGGCGGGTTCGCTGAGTGCCGGCGACCACTGGGGCCCGGCGCGCCCCCCGCGCCTACACACCCAGAGGAGGTACAGGTCCAGAGTCAGCAGCAGGCCCGACCGCTCGCCCGCTGTCGAAGGGTGGGTTGGCATCAGCTGATAGGCAAAACAATGACATGATCTTTCTCTATTTTAGTATTTCTACGCCAGTTATTTGGTGGTGCGCCGTGAGATTTTGCTCATGTCAAATATGTACCTTTGCTTTACAGATGTTAAGAAACGATGCATTAAACTTTCATTGTCCCCTACTCAGGATCGTACAACAGTTCCTTGCCGGCCTCTTTGCCAACTCTGGAGTCTCCGGCTCGCCGCCGCTGTCGTGGTGAAATGCCTTCACTAGTTAACTTGATTTTGGTCAGAGCGTGATTTCATCTTACAACATGACCAACGACAACTGGTGCTTTGTGCTTCTTCAGGACAGGGATGCTGCATTCTAATCCAGGAGACTACGCTTGGGGACAGGGTGGCCTGGATGCTGTCATAACACAAGTACAGCAAATTACGCCATATCTGTTTTGTTTGTTTTTTTCCCCCGTCCTCAGTGCTGAGCATTTTGTATGTGTGTAGTTACTAGGCCAGCTGGAGAACACAGGGCCTCCTCCAGCAGAGAAAGAGAGGATCTCTTCTTTACCCTTTGTGAATATTTCTCAGGAACAAGCAGGTTAGCCTCGCACATCGTTTCTCACGTTATCATGCACACGGTGTCCTTAAAGTCACTTTACGTTTGACACAACTAGTGTGGTTTATTTTTGACTAGGAATCTATAATGCCGTTTAAATGTATGTCACCACTGATTTTCACATCTTACTAAAACCCCATTTCCATTTGTCTGAATTGTACAAAGAATTACATATTAGGACTACCTACATAAGTAACCATTGTAGACTCGAATAGGGTGTCAGAGTGAGCGTTTTCTTGTGCCTCGAGTCAATACAGTCTGACGCCGCTGTGAAAACTAGTCTATTCTGTGCCGTTTGTAACCATGAAATGCTGGGACCAGTAGAACTCGAGTACTCCTGTAGATGAGGGTAATAATGAAAGTGAAAAACTGCTCACAAATTACATCACCAAAAATGTTGTCCGTGAACTTTTTTCTGTCAGGGCACACCCCCATTAGCAGTGTAGCCAACAATAAAAATAGCCTGCCGTGGAACGACCTGAATATCTGTTCACATAACAACTACATTGAGTGTCTCACTTTTTAGTGTATATTCTCCTAACAACAGTGGATGCTAATATGCTCACCATGAACAGCTGCAGTTTAAAAGCAAATGTCCGTCACCCCACTCGGTGTTCATCACGAATCTGATCTTCTTCAGACGCCATGTTCTTTTGCTGGACAGCACGGTTACTCAAATACAATTCCTAAAGACAGACGGAAAAAATATTTGGGTTGTTCAGAGTTCAAAAAGCTTCGAGGCGTCATCGATGGACTTGCTGATCACATCCATTCCAAAGTAATGAAATGAGTGTTCAACTTGTGTGGGCAGACTGTTGTATGGAATGTCCAGTGTGCAAAGAAGACTTTGAAGTGGGCGAGGCCGTCAGACAGCTCCCCTGTAACCACTTCTTCCATTCGGCCTGTATAGTACCGTGGCTGGAGATGGTGAGTCACAACAACCAACATTGTCGTCACACTCGAGCCGAGTTAACACCGAGCGGTTGTTCCGCAGCACGACACGTGTCCCGTTTGTCGGAAGAGTTTGAACGGCGAAGACAGCAGCACCCAGCCTCCATCAGAGTCCCCCACCCTCTCCATGGACCCCCGCACACAGGAGAGATGGTCCTTCTGAAGACGGACGGTGGGGAAAAAAAAAAAAAAACATGCCGAGAAGACGGTTCTCGCGCCCCCCTCGCCTCTGTTGCCGTCACTTTTTTGTACTATTCTGTTCAATGTCTTTTTTCTCCTGAACCATGTACACGCCCATCACATCTTGTTTGTTTTTACGAATTCTGTGACATGCTTTAGTTAAAAGTCCAGGATACGGTTTTGGAGGGGGTCTGTTCTGTTTCATGCAACTGAGTCACCTCTCACCCTATACATGATTGTATACAAGCAATTAGCTCGTTCATTTCCATAACATGTCCCCTTTAAGGTCTCGTTTCCACTCCAGGTGAGGCCAATTCATGTTTACCCCTCAAGCCACTTCCCCTTTTAAACACTATTTTGGGCAAATGTCAAGCTTTTGTATCTCCCAAGTCGCCACATTGCTGTAAACATTCATAAACTATTTATTATTTGACGTTCCACGAGCATATTTCTTTGGCTTAACATTTGTTTTAAGCATTCCTAAAAGGGAAATGACGTCTTAAAACCTTCACGCCAATGAAATGACTCATAATCATCAGCGCTCGCCCCACTTTTTCAATTCCACCTACTTCTGCTGGTGTACATATTATAATCTGATGTCATCCCTTTCATTTTAGTCCTCTCTGCAAGACCACATTTTTACCACTTTTTTTTTTTAAATGTAAATAATTGTAGTCCAAAGTTAAAAGGTTTGCTAAGAAAAACATCAAGAATGGAGACACAAATGTGAATGACATACATGGTTAACAAACTGTATATTATATAAATGAAATATGTCTATGATGTATTAATAAAGTGAAAAAATGGGTTTCCATTTGTCTCTCACAAAGTCAACCCAGGCTAAACAATACAGATGAAGTTTTATTTGAAATTAAATAGCAATAAACGTCAAGTACAAAGTGCATGTGTCAAAATACTAATGTGGTTAGGAATGTAAATAAACCATGCAAAAGATGGTTTTACATGTCAAAAAAATTTGTGGAGCAAATTTACAAATTCACACAGCCTCATAGCGGGGAGGGGGGGGCTTAACACTTTAAAAGTTAAGGCAATTGTTCTCAACAAACACTGGTAACATAGCAACTTAAGTGTGGATTTCATCTCCAAATGTCTTTTTTGTGGATTAATAGGTCACGCTAAAAAGACTGAAAATAGTTCAAGTAAAAATTTTACTTTAACTATTGCAAAATGACAATTCTTCATATTTTGACTTTTTTTGGAAATATTAAAACATTCTCATTTAAACGTGAGATTTCTATAAAATGAATACAGTAGTAAACACATTCTCATAATCCCTGCTCTTTCTTTCCCTTCCAGTATTGCAACTTTTTTCTTGCACTTTTACAAATTTATTCTCACATAATATTTACTTATAAAATGTCAAGTTTTTTTTCTTTGAAGACGGTAAGATCTCATTTCAACGATCAAATGTTTTTATCATGAATCATTTTGCCTTGATCCTTGGCACACTTCCGAGTTTATTCTTGTCGTAGCTATTTTGGGGTCCTTCAGTGTGCCTCTAATATACATAACTTCTGTAGGAAATGTGAGAGAACAAAAGTTTTATAGTAGTTTAAAAAAAAAAAAAGTCCTAAGGCTCACCTGCATGCGAACAGTAAAAACATATTACATATTGAATCCCGATGTGTACCAAGCAAGCGTGAGTAAGGAATGAGGCGGTGCTGTGGAGGGGATGTAGCCCACCAATGGGTCCCACACCTCAAACTGGATGGCCGATGATGACCTAAACGACACATACACAGTTTTTTTTAGAGCCAAGTCACACTTACTCAATCAATCGCTCGCTCACAGAGTGGAAGGAACCTCCAAAGTTGAACACAAACTGTTCCCTGAATCTTGTTGACTTCCAAGTTGTTCTACAAACCCCGATTCCAAAGCCACATTCTGTACATGTTACAACAGGGTGGCTTCATAATAAAAGAATGCGAGTACTAGACTAGCCTGCCAGCAGTCCAGACCCGTCCCCCACTGAAAACGTGTGGTGCATTTTGAAACGCTAAACATGCCAAGCTGTGTGTTTGTTTTGAGGTGTAATTATCTTTGTTTTATGTTTAAACGTGAATGCCGAACTGGACCATACAACCTGTTGAGGATGATGAGCACCGCTACGCCATCTGGTCGGATGAAGGCTGAGAATTTCAGGTTTGTTTCCCCACTGGCGGACACACCAACTCGCTGAGAGCCCTCACACAGGAACTTACTATGTCCGAAGGAAAAAAAAAAAAAAAAAAAGAATTTGACTGCACTCTAAAAATATTCAATGATTAAGGTCCGCCTGACTACCTAAAGTGGGCCAATGCGTAGAAGGTTGGCTGCTTGTAGAAAACGTCATGCTTAGCGTCAACTATGATGGGGCTGTCCACGAAGTTCTTTACCCAGTTGGGCCCGCCAGTCTGATCCAGAGCCAGATTCCAGTCAGTCCAGCCCGTCATGTAATGATTTAAATCCTGAACATGAAGAAATAAACAAACTAGTCCCGGCTTGCAGTGACAGCCTACGGGCCTGCTGACTCACACTCCCGGAACACCCGCCATCCTACCTCTATGATATCATGCGCGTATTGTTCGGCCCTCTGCCAGCTGCCCAGTTTCACCCCCCGGTCTGGCGGCTTCCAGCCTGCGCAGGCCTCAGTGCCAAACAGGTAATACTCCGGGTAAAGTTGGTGGGTGGATCCCAGGGTGGGCCCGGCGGGGAACAGGCCGTCCATGTACCAGTGCACCGCCACCCCGTGGATGTATCGACCTGCGTGGATGTCACTTAGCACCTGGTGGGAGTCACATCACAAGTCTCGGCATAGAAAATATAATTTGGTGTGGTCGATGAACATGCATTGACACTAAAGATTCCACAAAAAAAAAAAGAGAGCTTTTTTATATACCTGTCCTGTGTTTTATGTCATTGCTAATTTACCATTCGTATTTACAGTTTTTTTCAGTGAAGATGGTTGCATTTTTTTCTCTCGTTTTTTTTTTCGACTTCCTCTTTTTCATGTTCAATTGTCTTTTTTGAATGTGTTTTGGCAAGTCAGCAATGGCCTTGGAGCACATGAATGGCTTTGAGAAGAGAAAAGAGCAGCCTCTGCTGTCTGTAAAACAAACAAAAAAAAAATTCCAGTCTTGCTTTTATATAGTTTGGTTTTGATTATGACTACGGTTTTATGATTCACATTGTGAAATTCTCTTTGTTCGGCATTTAGTTTTAGAGAAAACTTCAACTGGGAGTTGCAATCTTGGCCTCTTTTTTGAGGGATTGCTCTGTCAAACAGCTGCTATTATAGCTCGTGCTTGTAATTCAGATTTGATCACTAGAGTATACTGTTTCTGTCCAATGCAGATGAGTCACCTGAAAATGTAGTATCCACTGTGCTGCACTTACCACTTTGGCCCAGTAAGGCAGCAGAAGACGGTTGTCGTCCAGCAGGAGGATGTGAGTGTGCGGAAAAGCCGAAGCGTGGAGTGCAGGGCCCAGGTCTAAGGCCACCCAGTCCCTCTGCTCTTCGGGGGTGAAGCCCAGCGCCTGGAAACTGCAGGGAGACAAACATGCCGTCTCGAAATCTTTTGATATTCGAACTCTAATATCCTGAGTGAAATATGACACCTGTAGTTTGTTATCTGTCCTGCTGTAGGTTCATTCCCTGTGGTCACAGCCCAAAACGTCAAATTATACTTGGCATATTCCTCAAGGAATCTTAGAGGCACAAATAGTAACAATCAGAATACGATATTACATGCTCTTATAACAACATGCTGTATGTACATCAATCACCGTATATAGTATTGAGCCCAGCTTTTGTGCTCCTTTCCACCGGGTTTTCCCTTCAAGGACCCTTTTCCTATGAGAGCTCCGTTTGTCTTCATCCAGGCGGGGGCGCTCCAGGCACTGCCCAGCAGAGACAAAGGTTGCGGAGCCATGGCCTGGGCTCTCTGCAGCAGAGGGATCTAACAACACAAGTCACAGAGGATTCAGACATTCAGTACTCTGTGTTTGTGTGTGTCTGTGTGTCTCTCTCTCTCTGGGATATGAAGTAAATATAAACTGAGATAACATGGTTGCACAAGTGTGCACACCCTCACAGCTTAGATGTGGCTGAGTTCTGAAGTGACCAATCAGCCATTTAAGACCTATGTAAAATAGGAGTCAGCACACACCTGCCACTGTTTAAAGTGCCTCTGATTAACCCCAAAGAAAGTTCAAATCTTCGACTGCGTTTTCCTGACTTTTTTTTTAAAAAACATTTTTCAGCTTCCACATCATAGGTATCTCATTGTTCAAAAATATCAGTCAGGAAAAGGGTATAAAATTTCCAAAAAGCCATTACAATACACCATGGAACACAGTGATAGTCATCATCAAGTATAGAAAATGTGGCACAACAGTGGCATTACCAAAAACTGGAAGTCTCTCCAACATTGACGAATAGACAAGATTAGACATGATGGAAACTGGTTAAGAAGGATGCCATAAGGCCATAGGAACATTGAAGGAGTCGCATGAATTACCTTCTGTCTCATTCTTTTGTCTTTCTTTCTGTATATGTCTATCATCCTCTCCCTCCATGTTTGTCTCAGTTTGTGTGTTTCCTAACCTTCATGTGTACATCTTCAGGGGCCAGAGTGAAATTGTGAAGGCTGTAGTCGTCCCGCGTGTCAGCATACGTGTACAGACGTGTGGAGAAGTCACAGCTGGCCATGGGCACACGCACCACAGTATAACCTATACCTGCCAAACAAAAAAATATTTTGAAATAGCTTTCATCTTTTTTACATCAAGGTGTTTTGAACATTTTCATTACCCCTGCATATTGTTCGATGAATACCTCTCTGACAGTGTCAATCAAAACTGAGCTATTATCTCAAAGTTGTATTTCATTAGATGTGACGTACCTTCTTTAGAGAAGTATTGTTTCAGCAGTTGGTCTTGTGCTCCAGCTGAAAGCGACAGGATGTTCAGTGCTGCTGCGTCTGTCATCGCTCCACCAAATCCTCTCATCTTCTGGTACTTCTTGTTTGGAAGGAGAGTTAGTCTCAGGCCTGAGGGAGACATGTGACATATTATATGATTAACACACCCACACATAGTCTCTCCCGCGTGCCTTGGGTCATCCTCGGTGCCTACTGCCAGTGGGACATGCCAGGAACACCTAACCAGGGAGGCATCCAGGAGGCATCATCATTAGATGCCCGAGCCACCTCATCTGGCTTCTCTCAACGTGGAGGAGAAGCGGGTCAACTCTGAGCCACTGTGGATGACCGAGTTTCTCAACTTATCTCTAAGGGAGAGAGAGCCCGGACACCCTGCGGAGGAAACTCATTTCGGCCACTTGTATCCGGGATCTCACAACAAATAACTCGTAGGTCTCGAACAGATTAATTGGATTTTCATTCAGTTTATTTAGAAAATAATATTTGGCTTCGCAAACAGTTTTTAAATGAATTCTCAGTTTGTGAACCCAGGGTCCACTGCAAAATCAAGCCGTGGGCCACAGACACCTGGGAACTATTTTAATTACTTAAAAATTGCATTACAATCCACAGATACTACTATTGACACTATTGTATACTTAGTAACTTTCAAATGGCAGCAATATAACATATATATATATATATAGCAATAAATGGTCACAGGATTTGTAGACACACTGTTCATTACATTTTAGAAGAAACTTTTCCACCCTGCATAAGACTTACCAGCACCGGTTCTGTTGGGTCTGACTGGGCCTTGGGCGTCCTCTAGCCGGCTTCCGGCCATGGTGCTCAGGTAGGAGATGTAGTGACCCAGCGGGGGAAGAGAACCGGTGCCCAAGGTGTCGCAGTACGTAGTGTTACACTCACACACCACTGAGTCATGGCCGAAGCTTCTGGCGGCACACTTGCTGCGTTCTTGTTGGGAGAAGACACAAAATTAATGTTGCCACATTTAACACATTCTAAAGGAGGTCGTGTTTGTTACCTGTGGTGGTCGTTGTTGTTGTTTGGAAAATGGCTGCTAGCGAAAAAGCGCAATGCAATGACAGCAACATTTTGTAGAGGGACACTTTCTACCTGTCGTCGGATATCACGAGGCACGAAATTAAACTCAGCCACGAGTATATGAGTCAATACGACCGCAAATTCATTACTGCGCCATTAAAGTGAACTCTCGACAAGCTTCGTTGCATTGAAATGGTTTGAACTTTGCACAGTCTGTCATTCCTTTGCTGGTAAGTTTACGGTTTGTTTTGAGGAAGTAATCACGTGATACTCGCGTGGTTTGCAATGACCCGGATGTGCCGGTATGCCCCACGTGAAGTACCACAGATGAGCCAGTTGGAGGTGCTGTTTAATCGGGAGAAAATGGAAAGTGTTTTTTTTTTTCGCTCGAATGACAGGACTATTAAAAAAAGGTATGGAGGTTAATTTTTTCGCATAATAATTATTTTAGGAATGCATCCCCAAACCTATTCTGCAGAGTCATGTTCATACAAGTAATTAATTGCCATTTTTGCCATCCATTCATTTTCTAAAATACTTGTCCCACTCAGCATCTCGGGTGAGGTGAAGCCTAATCCATCTGACTGCAAAGAGGAGAGAGGCACACCCAGAACAGGTCACCAGTCAATCGCGTGGCACGTGTAGACCGTTCACGCAAATTAACTTTTGGAAAAGCAAGACACCTTTAATTTAAAAAAAAAAGTTGGTAGTTTGAACATTTATTAACAAACAGTGAACGAATAATTTACAGATTATAGACATGAATATTGAGTTTCTGCATTTCTAGTGTGCAGATATTTGTGTGTGACATGTGTGGTTGCTGTCTAAGACCTCATAGGAATGCGCAAATTCTGTCCAATAACGATGGATTCCTGTCAGTCATGAAGATGATCTCTTTCTTGCCCTCTTCTGTTCGGCCTGAAGAGGAAAAGTCAGATAAGCATTACATATACATGGTTGTATTTCAGAGGAAACAGTCTCCAAGGGAGTGGCTCTTACTCATGGGATGCTGCAGCCAGTTGCGGTCCATGTAGTAGAGAAAGCAGCTCTCAAACTCTTTCTCACTGTAGTAGGGCACGGACACGGGGATGAATGGGTCCATGTTGTCAAACCCCCTCTAAATGACAAATCGACAGAATTTAGCATCACAGACTTAATATCTTCTATCAGCAGCTAACATGAACCCTCTTGAACTAAACATTCAAACTCCCACAAGTATAAATGCAACAGCATTTTTCACAGCCCCGTTTTGTTCAGTGGAGATGTCGGCGCTGTTGGACAGTCTGTGTTGGTGCGGCTGCATGGATGGCTGCTGAAGTTGAGGATGAGGAGAGAGGAGCGTCGGCGCGGAGCGCCGATGCGTATTTACAACTGAGAGTCGCCACTTGGAATTGAAACGGGTTTACATGGGACAGGAGAAGTGAACCAATCTTTATTTTTCATCAATGACCGCTACGGCTTCTTGTTTACTTTGAAACTTAGCTTGTAGCTGACGTGTGCGCATTTTGAGCATGACTTCTCTGATCCACTGGTAAAAGGACACTTTGATTCTCTCCTTTCATCCAGAACTGTTTCAAACTACAAAGCATATGAGGGAAAAGTGATTAAGATTGCATGACTGTCCGTGTTTTATGTCATGTGTTGTGTTTATTTTACTTTATGTTAACTGTTTTGTTAAGCGCTTTGTTCCAGCTGCAGCTGTTGTGAAAGCGCAAAATAAATCAGGATGTATTGTATTGTAGATGTACTAAACAGGGATAACTGTTAAATAAACAGGATAGATGACGTACTGTGATGTCGCTAAAAAGGAACTTCCCTCTGCTCAGCCTAAAATATAACTTGAACCAGTCTACAAAGAGCTTCAGCTTTCAGATGAGCCTAAACTCCCTCAGATCCGTGCCATTACAATCAGATAAAACCATACCCTTCTTTGAACTGCTGCTTGTCTCCCGCCATCCTTGTATTTAGAAAAAAATAAAAAACGCACGAGGCTACTTTCAGTTCAGTTGCTGCAAAAACACCAGCAAATATTCGCAGGCGTGCACTTTACCGGCCTCATCCATGCACTGTCCTGCGACTTACCCCACAGTGGGCTCCATGAAAACCAAGTGCAGGTATAAGTGCCTTAAGTCAACAACTTCATGAGTTGTGTTTCAAGTGAGCAAAGAATCACACTCGTGAACCCTGACCTCTCCGAGCAGCTCCTGGGGCAAGTATGCCAATTTGGGTGGGTACACAGCTCCCGTATGAGACAGAGTGGTGATGATGGCGCCTCCCGTCTGAAACAAGAAGTTGCATATGAAAAAAAAAAGGGGTGGTATTGGTCAGCCGCACTTTTTGCATATTCTTCTCACCCAGTTGTTCCGCATCATCTTCCTCAGGTTATATACCAGCGTGAGCTCATCTGGGTCCACCTGGTGACAAGCAAAAACATGTGAGGACGTAGCTGCAAAGGCGGCGTGAAGCTTACTCGGATTTACTCACCTCGCTCTTGTCCTCTTTTTGAATACTGGACTTGCCCCACAGGGCGTTGACGCCGTCCACGGCCACAGCCAGGTGGAAATCACAGCCCGGCTGCCCGCTCTGCTGCCTCAGCTCCTTCATCAGCGCTCCCACCACATCGCTGCTGCTCTTCACGCGATTGATGCCCTGACATGGAAATGTGTCACATTTGAGTACAATAATCCCCCACAATGGTGGATTAAAAAAAAAAAAAAAAGCCTGCACACCCCTGTTCAAATAAAAGGTTTTTGTATATAAACACGGAACCAAGATACAGCATTTGAAAACATTTTCCACCATTAATTTGACCTATAACCTACTGAAATCAATTGTTAAAACAAATTTTTTTAAGAGTGGAAGTAAAACATAAATAACAGAATCTCCTTGTGCTGAAAGATGTGACTACAAAAATGTCAACAAAAAACTATTAGAACATCTGAACTTCATTTGGAGTTAATCAGAGACACTTTAAATGCTATTAGGTGCGTGCTTACTCCCATTTAACATGAGTTTGAGTGTCACCAGTTAATTATGAGCAAAACTGCAAACTACTTATGAGGGGTGTGCACACCTGTGCAACCACATTTTCTCACTTGTTTTCTTTAACCTCCCCTCTTGAAAAGATTGATATGTTTTTTCAGTTGAGTTGTACAGGTCACAGGTCACATTACGTTTTGGAATGATTTTCTAAGTCTCAATTTTTTTAGTGTGATATCACAAAACCCAGCATTTGAACCTGGGTGTGTCGAGTTGTCGCTCTAAAAGGCTGGACACATTAAAAAGACATTAGGCGACGGCATTTCACAAAGCAGCAGAAAAGAAGGAGAAGTATATTAAAGATGGCAGTACCTTAAAACACTACAGCTAATAAAGTTACAAATACTAAAAAATATATACCGTAGTTTAGATAGATGTTTTTGTTTTTTTTTTAACGTCGGACACTGCAGCGTTCTCTCGCAGCTCAAGTAGACAGCACTTGAAGGCTGCTTCAAAATAATCTGAGTGTCTCAAAGAAAAGTGGCCCCACCACGCAAGCCATGAGTCCAACATTCTCCTATGCAAGCTTTAATAATCGAATGCTTTAAAATGAGAGTAGTCATATTCTTATTGGAACTCTTGGTCAGGACGGTATCACCTCTGCCTTAATTTGAGCCAGGAAAAAGCCTTTAACATCTTTTCAGGTATTTTTTTTCCTCCTGTTTTTAAAAAATTAAATACAATGAATATCGGATTCACTGTACATCGACAAAGTATGATAAGGGGCTTGATGTATGAGATATGTGCAAGAGGTGATGTGATGAAAAATGTCTGAGAGGCTGAAAAATAACAACCTGATCAACCAGCTCGCCAAGAGGGCTTCCCTCCTCAGTGAGCTCTCTCTTCGTCCACAAGTAGCGCTGCCTTGTCTTTATCTGGAGACCAAAGAGTAAAGGTTTGAATACATTTTAATGTTACTTCCCCCACAAGACATTTGTGTAGTGCTAAAGCAGCTTTTAAACATTTTCATCAGAATTGCTCCTGTTAAAACAACATGTACCTGTATCGTTGATATCCTTTAAAAGCATATACCAAGCTTTCACAAGTGGTTTGAGTTGCGATTGAAAAACAACAAATATGCCAATTTTGTTTTTTTAGCTACAAAAATGCATTTGTATTATAAATTAAGAGCGTTTGAAGGAATTTGCGTCTCCTATCTTTTATGCAAAACGTATATTTAATGTTTATTGACATTTTTTGATGATGATTTTTTTTTTTTAGATTTCAGTTACATGAAGATTTTTACTCTTCGAGGGCTGGCCCGGTCACTATCCCGCGCAAAGTGCATTTTAAATGCAAATTTCAAGAATAACACATATTTGAAATGAATAGCTTGATGAGGACTGAAAATTTTCAAGGCAGAATTTTTGATTCAGCTCCTGTATTGAATTCAGTTAGGCGAATTCAGGCGTACCAAATGAAAGTGTCCGCTGAGTGTACCAATATGTCTGTCCACCTGTACTGTATGTTCTATTTAAAGCAGAAAGACATCAATCCCAGGACGTCAATTATGATATTCCAATTCAGCCAAGTAGATTGTGAACTGCCAAAGCATAACGACTTCCATCAATGTCTCATTAAATAATTAAGCCCATCGTGCCTTCCAGCTGCCGGCAACGCCTGCTGCTTTATGTGCATCGGCATGTAACCCGACCTGCTGTGACGACACAATGGAGCCCCATTTAATGTCTACACGTGCCTCGTTGGTTACCGCTTGAGGTGAATGCTGTCTTATATCATACAGCTATTTAATGTAACATTTGGCTTCTACCTTGGACAGGAAGGGTTCGTTGGTGATCTTGAAGTTGCGCAACCACTCGGTGGCTTGTAAAGGCTGGTCGAAGCGAGAGGCGTTGAAGGATGAAGGCAGGAGCTCCTTGCAGTTCTTCACCCAGCTGTGAGCTAAACGGAAAAAACAAACATACAAAAAAAAAAAAAAAAACACACTAATTTGACTAGAAATCGACAAGTGATTTGCTATTTATTTTTCTCTGAATGTTCTGAACACCTGCTTTCATGCAAGTCATAGAGCAGGATAATTATCCAGAGGAGTTGTGACATAGCTTTAACTAAGGCGTATTAGTGCCACCCTGAAAACAGAACATTTATTTTACGATGAGGATGAAGGTCATATTTTCAAGAACAATTGCATTTCTTTTGAGAGAAAATGCGATATCTTTCTGAATGAATGTCTTAATTTTACAAGAAAAAAGTAAAGGTACAGTAGTATCTTTTA